TTGCGCGTAAGATTAATTGCGTCGCATTTTCGCATAAGATGAGGCCCCCTCCGTGAGATGAGGCCCCATGCAGTCTGCGTGATTGCCGTGTAGGGAGGGACGGGCCTGGCTCCACCCTACACCACAACCCAACCATATCATCCCACGACCAGTTGTGACCGGTCATTAGGGGCACAGCCCCACCTAGTGTCAGCAGAAAGTATTAAAAATAATGATTACAACAAAATGCAAAAAAAATATATATATATAAAATATATTTTAAGATCATGTTTAATCATCTGATTTGTCTGTACATTGCTGTTTTAGTCTGTGTTCTTCGAATTAGTGTATACAGTGTGTGCCTATTGAGCTGTTTAGAGCCATGTGGGACAAAACCCGATCATGCCCCTCCCTCTCACTGTCTAAGTGAACGGTGACTGTAAAAACTACTGCGCATGCTCAGAGTATTGTCCTATTTAATGTGTGTGGCAAAAAAATAATGACCATAGAGGCATAGAGCTGCCATCCCCACCATACGTCATCTCACATCATTCAGAGCTGATTGGCTGTAAGTACGTGTGCCGCGAAAAGTGTGGTGTGTGAAGAGGAGACGAGAGACGCGTCCTAAAACCCGGAGGTAAGCTGCGCATGGGTTCCCTCCACAAAAAAGCAATGAGATTTCTCCATAGGATATTAGAAAATAGCTCAAAATAAGATCTGTGGGACCTGTTAGATAAATGCACGTTTTGTTCAGCCGGATAATATCCACATGCCTACTTTTATAATTTTCTAATCATAAAACTATCGATTAGATTTACTTTTGAAACTACAAGAAGATAAGGAGGACTTTTACAAAAAAGTAATAGAGATTTTTGTCCAGAAGGATAGGCAAATGGACTTCATCTTCAAGTCAAGGTAAGACCGCAATTTTATTGAAAATGGGATCTTACTAAGAGAGAACAATTCAATATTTAAATGATAAAATTAAATTTTTTGGGTATCCTTTTGCCAGTTGAGGTGGTTCGGGCACCTAGTTAAGATGCCACCTGGGCGCCTCCCTAGGGAGGTGTTCCAGGCACGTCCAGCTGGGAAGAGACCAAGGGGTAGACCTAGGACCAGGTGGAGGGATTATATATCTTCGCTGGCCTGGGAGCGCCTTGGGATCCCCCAGTCACAGCTGGTTGATGTGGCCAGGGAAAAGAAAGTTTGGGACTCTCTGCTGGAACTGCTACCCCCGCGACCTGACCACGGATAAGCGGGAGAAGATGGATGGATGGGTATCATTTTGTTGAACTGTCTGTTTAAAATTAATCGAAGCATCAGACAAAAAAGCTTTTGAAAATAATATTATATTTTGATTTAGGTCAAAATATAATATTTGTAAACCTGAAGAGTCAGTGCCAGTGCCTCACCAGCCATGAACCTCACTGCAGAAGCTTATATATAGACATCTACGTTTTTTGTGCCCCGCCACTTTTGTACATATAAAAACGCCACTGCCCACGACTATGACTGTCACCTGTCCTCCGTAACCTTCGTTCCCTCTCCCCCTCTACCTTTGCCTCATCGGTGCTCTCAGCCCTCCCTTCCTCTGACTCGTTCCAACTCCTGCCTCCAAACTCTGCTGCAGAAACTCTCCTCTCTACTCTCTCCTCCTCTCTGGACTCTCTCTGTCCTCTCACATCTCTGCAGGCTCGTCAGTCCCCTCCTGCTCCCTGGCTAAATGACGCACTGCGTGCTAATAGAACCATCCTTCGGGCAGCAGAGCGGAAACGGTAGAAATCCAAACACCATGACGACCTCCTAACCTATCAGGCTCTCCTCTCCTCTTTCTCTGCTTCGATCTCTCAGGCAAAAAGCACTTTCTTTCAAGATAAGATCCATTCTTCCTATTCCAATCCCAAAACACTATTTTCAATCTTTTCCACCCTCTTGGACCCCCCCAAAGCCCCTTCCCCCTCCTCCCTTCTGTCAAGCGACTTTGTTAACCACTTTGAAAAAAAGGTTGATGATATTCGCTCTTCTTTTTCTGACTCACCTTTACTCACCGCTGGGTCACCAGACCCTCCTTCCACCAACACACTAACCTCCTTTTCCCCTCTCTCTCCAAGTGAGGTTCTTACCCTCATTACCTCTACCCGCCCTACCACCTGTCCTCTGGACCCTATCCCCTCAAACCTCCTTCAGACTATCGCTCCTAATATTCTACCGTTTCTCACCCATTTCATCAACACTTCAGGTTCTGTTCCAGGCTCTCGTCATCTCACGCCTAGACTACTGCAACTCCCTCCTGGCTGGTCTACCTGCATGTGCTATCCGACCTCTGCAGCTCATGCAGAATGCAGTGGCTCGTCTGGTCTTCAACCTTCCAAACGGTTCCCACGCCGCTCCTCCGCTCCCTTCACTGGCTTCCGGTAACTGCTAGAATCCACTTCAAGACACTGGTACTTGCATACCATGCTGCGAATGGATCTGGCCCTTCCTACATCCAGGACATGGTTACACTGTACACCCCAGCACGTGCACTCCGCTCTGCATCAGCCAAACGACTCGCTGCACCCGCACTGCGAGGGGGACACAAGTTCCCATCAGCAAAAACATGTGGGTTTGCTGTCCTGGCTCCAAGATGGTGGAATGAGCTCCCCATTGAAATCAGGACAGCAGAAAGCTTACACATCTTCCGGCGCAGACTGAAAACTCATCTCTTTCGACTCCACTTCGAGCGATAGAATTATTAACAAAGCACTTATATACTAATAAAGGACTGGCTTATCTATAGCCAGTTGAGTAGCACTTGAAATGTTTGGCTCTATGAAACCTGATGTACTTATATGATTCTGTTTTCTTCAAGGTTGTGTCTTCCTGGTCTAATGCACTTATTGTAAGTCGCTTTGGATAAAAGCGTCAGCTAAATGCAATGTAATGTAATGTTACCCACCATGTTGGGGAAAGTCTCCTCCCAAGTGTTTCATGAAAAAATATGTTAATAGCGCTTTTTTATCATTTATGTGACAGCTAAATCTTGACATTGCACAGCCTTGGATTTCATTATTGGTTTGGGCAACACACTCTCACTCCATAATCGTCCAGGAGCGACGTTTGGTCAGGGTCCCGTGGCGTCCAGTTGTGACGCTCCTAGGCTCCTTCAGCTTCATAAAGGGACGCAAATAGCTTTCAACTGATTGCAATGTATTCCCATCTGCGGAGTAAGAGTAAAGAATGGCAGAAGACACTACACTACCCAGAATCCCCAGCTATAATTTAGGACTACACCATGTGCTCTGTTTGACAAAAAAAAAAAAGTTATTAGAGTATAAGAAGGCCAACATGTGTATGCATTCAATTGAAAAAACTGCCTACCTGTACCACCAACTACAACAGAGAACAAGGACAGGGAAGGAACCAAGTCCAACAGGTGGTTAACAGGCCCTCATGAGGGGGTATTTGGGGGAGGATTCAGGCCTGGAGCTGCATTCAAACTCTCCACTCTATCAGGGGGCATTACCCTAGGCAACATTGTAGTCGGTGTTAGGTTCTGGTGGCTTTTGGTGGAACAACATTTTACATATAAACATATAATTATCTTGCTTTGGTATGAAAAAATAAAGATTTTGAAGACAGTCAATGACGGTATAAAACGTATTTTTCAAAACACGTGAATCACTTCAACCACATATTTTTCCTGTGTATACAGTCAAAAAATAGCAAAAATATAGATATAATTACATTGGGTCATTAGCCGTGGACAGACACACACAGACGCAAGCAGACACATAATATCCTTAGTGCAACACCTAGCCAATATAATTATGTATTTAAATGTATTGGTATCTTTGAGAAATATTTCCTCGTGTTATTTTAGATCACTATACCCCTGACTGTCAAAACTTCAGTCAAATGTTTTTTCCCTTCCTTACAATGCATTCTCTTGTTATGTTCATCTGGATTAATGCTCCATCTGGAAAGCAGCAGCATACACAAAGATATTTCAAAAATTCTGCAGCTGTACCTATAATTTCTAAAATATTCATGATGAACTGCTTACATTTTTCATAAGATCTGTGATTTCAAAACAGATACATTTGGGCCACACAGTTTTGTTTTTTGGTCTCTAAAGTTACTTTCAAACTTTTAATAAGAAGCAGCCATAACAACCACTCATCTGTTCTAAAATATTAATATTCTGATGCTGCAGGGTTGTTTTCTGACACAACTTGCACTGCAACAGATCCTGCTTTGTTCGCTGGCTGCTGCAAACCACCGCTGGTGAAATCATCCAGGACTCCTGGTAGTGTCGAAATGTGATACAATGGCAAAAATAAATCAAAAGTTAGACAGCCAAACATTCAGACATTCAAAATCACGCATCTAAAACAAACATTTACAGAAACTCTGGAGCATGGTTAACCAAATTTGTTTTCTCAGCAATCCAAGTTTTTGTCATTGTATGCATTGGAATAGTCCTATAATTCGACCTTTAATGGCCATAACACATACATTTGGTTAAATTCTTCAATTCAAGTGTGAAATACAACCTTTGAAACTCTATTTGTCGTGCAGTTAGGACTATAGCTGTGTGGATGTAATTGATATCAATATGAAAACACAAAAATGGAGACAGTCCAAACGTGCAAAGTCACCAGTATATCGCATCACTGTGCGGACAGATACTTGGCTCATGTTCATAGGTTTTCACACAACAAGCCGTTCTTGTCTCCTCTCTTTATGTTAATCTGGGTGACTATACATCCAATTTAAACACAATCCATTGAGAGGATATATGAGCCCCATTCAACAATGGCCTGGCACTGGTGCGGGCTGCTTTGCATCAGGGTGTGAGAGCAGACTCAGAGATAACCCTTGTTGTTCCCGCGGCCGGGTGAGGCAGATGGGGAGAGGAACAATGGCCGACCCATTCGGAGGGCGGCAGTGACAGCCACTGAAGCTCAGAAGAATGTCTGGAGCCCAGCCAAAGCTTTACTGCCACCACAGCCACACCGCACCCACCGAACCTGACCCTCCTCACATCCCATGGTGCCCGGCGGCCGAGGGGACGACACCTTCAAAGACGGCCCCTGAGCGTCAGAGGGCCAACCACCGTGAAAGAGCAGCGGAGTCGAGGACTGGCACTGTGGGCTGTGACTGACTTGGAAGAGGACAACTGCGTGGACGGAGAGGTCAACCCCACCCATCTCCAGCAAATACTAGCATGGCTACAGCGAGCACCTCAGGGCAGAGCAGTTTCGGGCTCGGGAGGAAAAAGAAACAGCCTGGTCTCATGGATCAGATTACCAAGTTCTTTGGAGGAGACAAGAAGAAAAGGAGCAAGGTGAGATTCCATGCATCTGCATCTAAAGGAGCGGTTCAGGTCAGGAACTTCCCGAGCCCTAACGATTGTAAAACCTTATTTTTTCAAAACGCTAAAATTATATAATTTTTTCCTCATTGCACTACAATAGAAAGTACTTGTTTTTTGTGTTTTTAACATTTGTTGGCTATTGGGGAATTTAAGTGGCTACATATAACAACCTGATCATCAGATGTATTCATTATAAGAATTGTTTTGGCTGCTGTAAAAATGCAGGAACATATCTTAAACCATTAAGCAATATACACTAAAACGTTCAAAATACTTTAGAAAATGATCAAAACTAATTAGACTGAACATTCTTAGATGTAGTGACACATTGCAAGAACATTTACTAGTTTTAGAATGAGACATTTTCCAGGTTTGGATTTCTTGACACCATATCTCCTTAAAGGAGAGAAAAGCACTGATGGATAATTTGCCCACCCAGACAGAGATTGGGATTGGCGTTTCCATTTTTTTTTTTATTAAGGCAAAAATCCACCTGTTATTAACCATATTTTGCAAGATGCGACAGGATTTTACCGCCAAAACAATTTCTTATAATTATAGAAATGTAGACTTAGATGAAAAAGTGTCTGTAACTGTAAAATAAATGGAATCTAAGGGAAAGCTTTTAGATGTGTTGCTGTTACCACATTCAACTATAAAATAACATCATATAACTAATATTAGAAAATGTTTTCTCAAAGCATAAACATTTCAATTCCTCAATTTTCACAAAAATGAAAAGGGTTCAATTTGTCAATTTTAGTATTTCAGTATGTCAGCCCCTTTCCTGGTCCCCTTTTTGCCTTTTCTTATTTTTACTCTTTCAACTTGGTGGTTAACGGTACAAAATGCTACATGCGCACGTAGCCAAGCTAAATCTTCAGTAGATGTATCCCCACAGTGCACGTGAATTTAGTTTAGCCTTGCCCTAAGCTGAGATAGGAAAAACCTCAGACAAAATGTCTTTCAAGTTCTTGATTCAACACTCTGCTGGGGGGGGGGGTCTGATACGTTAGAGCAGCAGAGTGTCTAAGATGTTATGGACTCTGACTTAACTCAGATCATTTCCTTCATATGTTACAGGATTTCTGTCTTGCACTTAACCCTTGTATGGTGTTCGGGTCTGTGGGACCCGTTTTCACTATTAAGCTAAAGAAAAATGATATGATAAATTATTTTTTCAAACCCACACTCAATGGCCTTGGCTCATTTTGTGTGAAGAACATATCAGAACACATTTTTCAGTGACTTTGAAGAAAAGGAAGAGATTGAGCATCAGCTAGTTACAGAAAACAGACGAGCCACAGGACCAGCCGGTCAGCGGGCAAAACAACAAGTAGCACTTTCATTCATTAATGTGATCTAACAAATGTAAAAGGGCAAATATGAACCATATATGCTGTTTATGTTTATTGTAATTGAGATGAAGTAAACATCTGTTGAGTATTTTAACATAAAATAGTTTGATTGTGTTGAATTGAAGCCCAAAAAGGCAGTGGGTCCACCAGACAATATGAACACCATACAAGGGTTAATACAATACAATACAGTTGCAAAAAAGCAATAATTACAGGTATCTGTATAAAAAAAGTTTTATTGAAAGTTCTGTGTTCAGTCTCGAAACATACTAATTTATTCGAATGAAGGTACACTAATTCAAGTATTTGAATTGCCTCAATTTAATATAATATCAGTTTTCCTATCATAGAACATGATTATCATCTGTTCTTTTACATTGTCAGATTCGACAGCCATAGGAGCCTTGAAACTACAATTATTTCTTGTAGGAGGTATGGTGCAGCTGAGGCTGATTTTCATGAAATAACTGATTTCTTTTCACGCTCATGCCAAGCTACTCTATGATAATACTGCCTAAAAGATCTTAATAATTATGTGTTAATTAAATGTCTAAAAACCGTGAATCCAACTGATTTAATTCCATGCGGTTTCACTAGCAAGACTTAATCTTGTAGTAACATTACCATGTAAACACACACGGTTACTTGATGTCTGTTGGTCCTCACAGGGGTCTTTCCGGGGTCATGGGCCCGCCTCACCCCAGCAGTCCTCCGCTCGACGTCGGACCAAGGAAAATGCTGTGGTGCATTTCTTCAGGAGCTTGGTAAGACTCTTGAATTAGGAAAAGGACATATTTTAAACTTCATGACATACATTACGTTCTTTTAACCATGTACTTAAAATCATTTTTTGTTTATAACATCCTCACTGTTATCAAATAGTAAGGTTGCTGTAATACTCTGAGACTGCCATTAGTTGTATAAGCAAGAACACAAAAACAAACCAATTTCCTCCAATTTACAGCTGTTGAACTCTCAGTTACTTCCTCCGATTTACTTTGGAGCTAAGCCTTGGCATCAATAGAGCGACAGTATTTCAAAGCTAAACCGTTTTTATTTACATACTGATTTAAATGTGGGGAAGTTTCAACCACCAGTTCAAGTGTTTTTGTTCTATTGCCATGCACGGTACAATCAGTCATTCTGTTGTTAATTGTTTACTCTCAGGTTTCCTCTCCTCAACCTAAATCCAGGGTGAGTCTCATTTTTATTCACCATTCTTGTGCTGCTGTTCATTCCAAAGGTATAGCCACTGGGTGAAGATGGAGAGAGGCACTGATCATTTATTTCTGATTAATTTTAGATTCCTCGTCTATACTAAAGTTGTCTTTCATATTCCTCAATGTCAAATTCATCAGCTATTTTTCAAGACGTTTATTATTTGATATCCATTTGGTCCAAATCCCTCGTAAAAACGTATGTAGGTATCAATTGACTATCCAAATGTTGGATAGGCAATTGGTACCTACATGCGTTTTTATATGGGATAATATAACTTTGGCGCCCCCCAGTGGAAGTTTCCTATTGTAATATGCTGAGAGCAACGCATGCTGCCCTCGCAATCCTTGTGAACTGCACTGGCACTGTGGCATTTTTAACAAACACAAGTGAATATCATCAAAATCATTTAAAATATGCTAAAGTCAAGTAACAAGACTTGTGTAGTGAGCTAAACACCAATGTTTGCTAGCTTTCTGGTGTTTAGCCATCTTAGTTGTGTGTGCTAGCATGCTAATTGCTTATGTACACAACAAGCAAATGTTGAGCTATCTAGCACTACACAACACTAGTCTTAGGCTAATGTCAATCTGTTTTAGCATACATAGTTATTTTTAGCTAATGTTTAGCTAACATTAAATACTATTTTAGCTTATGTTAAGATAGCACTAAACACTAGAATTTAGCTTATATTTAGCTATTTAGCACTAAACACTAGTTTAAGCTAAAAATGTTCATCTATTAAGCACTATCTACTAGTTTTAGCTAATGTTAAGCTATTTAGCACTAAACAGAAAGTACCTTGAGTGATGAGAATTTCTTTAGTAAACCAAAGTAGGACTTGTAGGACTAATTAACATTTCGACCAGAAGAATATTCCAGGAATCATCATAGCTATTAAAGTTCATCCTGAAGAGAACATGAATGTTAAATCCATGTTGCATAATGTGGTGATATTTCACTGCATACAGTAATACAAAACACTTAGATGCAACATTAGATGAAAAGTCAGGAGTTCATCAAAGTCAGTAAGCCTTAACATCTGAGGACCATGACTGTCCAAAATGTTAGTGTGATTAAGCCTGAGAGTTTTTTCTGACATTTTCCAAATATTTTAATTGAGCTTTTCAAGCATAATCTTAATATTTTGACCCTTTCTTTCAACCAAAAGAGAAATTGGTATATTTTGTGCAAACATTCATTCTCCAGCTTAGGTCACAAACAAGTGTCAGGGTTAGGGCTGTTGGGACCATCACTCAACTCTACAGAGTGAGTTGGCTATATAAACTAAGCTATTTACTCTAATTCTCCACCACATCACAGCTAAAGTTGCCATATTATACCTTTAACTGGATCATTTTAAGATGTGTGGAGGGGGACGCAGGGTAACTACACTCTCACTGTATCTCGTAGTCTCATCATGTCACTGTCTGTTTCTATTTCATGTGCAGTGGAGAGACGCCTTGGGCTTGGTATGTCACACAAACTTCCCCTCTCAAATCCCATAAAAGACACACTGCTGACTGCACCACTGTGTGTGTGTGTGTGTGTGTGCGTGTGTGTGTGTGTGTGTGTGTGTGTGTGGTGTGTGTGTGGTGTGTGTTCCCGCACATGGTTTCCTTCGATTGCAGCGCACCTGTGACCTCACACCCACCCTCGTCCTGTCTTGTTCTTACTTTGTGATTCACTGCCTTCTCTCCTCTCTTTTATACCTGAGCATTAGGACTCAAGATGTATACAAAAGCAAAGCTGACTCACCTGCACCTATACTGTTCACACATTAGCTGAGAGTGCCACACAGATCAAAAGTAGAAAACAACTATTTATTAATTTCTGAAACTCCCAAGTATTGGCTTGTTGGCGAATTCATTTAATTTCAATGAGTTCTTCTCTGCTTTAATCCAGAGCGACTCGCTGCTTCTGGATGACTTTGAAATCGCTCAACTATTTATGAACCGCAGCCGGTAAACACTTTCTCTTAGGATCTCTTGACCTGCATCGCCCTCCTCCTCCTCTTTCACACTTATATCTGTAACACCTCCACCCCCTCTCTGTTAGAGGTGACTCACCGATCTTTCTGTTTTGGCTTCCTGCCATCTTTATGCTTTCTCCTCTGTCTGGCGACCCTGGACAACCATGTTGTATGAGTTTGTCCTTTTAAGGTGATTGCAGAGTTCTGTTCTCTGTGTCAGTTCAGAGTGGACCTTACCTTGTCCTTGTCATCCACTTTCTTTCCCCCCTAAAAGGTGCTGTTATGTTCTGTCTGGTCCTGTGACATTTTCATGTTTTCCCCATGTCCATGGTATATTTATTCAAAAGTACAGATCCAAGAAAACTGTTTCCCACAACTTACTGTTGAGAAACCGATCCTGCAGTTTGGTTGTTTTCCCCTCAGATTATAAGTTATTGAACAAGTTTGCCGAATATTAGATCTTTGAGAATTTGTGTTTTTCCAAATTCTAAATAATTAAAAATGTCAGATCAGTCCACCTTTATTGTCCATAAGGGAAATTCAGCTTGTAGCAAAGCACATTGAGAACTCAATGACCACATAGATCCAAACACCAAGAGGTCGATCCAAATACAATTAAATTGGATGGATGATACACAAAGAAATATAATTACATAATGTGCAAAAGGTTGGGCACTCATAAGGAATTATGAAGCCTATTCTTCATTTTTGACAGACTTATTATTTATGGATATGTGATTTTAGCCAATAGCAATAGAAGTGCCACTATAAACCTTTTTAAAATAGTTGTTTATGACTTTTTGTTAGAGCTGTTTCTGATGCACTTGGGTAAAATGCTCGTAAGTGTCGTACAGAGGGAAAGTCCATCAATGTAAAATGTATTAAAGTCTGGTTAATGGTCCAACAACAACAGAACACCAGGCCCCGGTTTCAGGTATCCAACTTTGCTTAAAGAGCGTTTTTTTCTAGGCCTCGTCGCCGAGTGCCGAGAGCACAAAGTCGCCGGTCAGGAGACGCAGAGACCAAAACACACTGTCCAGAATCTTCAACCTGGTGAGCCTACAGCACATTCACAATCTTCTTTTACTCAACATGTCCTCTTTCTACCTGTAAAACTGGGCTTTATAAACACTGTCTCCTGTCTGTGTTTGCCCAAAATGCAACAGTGATGCTCTCACCAGAGATCAGTGAGTAATAAATTGATACAATATAATGATTTCACTTCCATTCATTTTCTTTCATCAGCTCCAGTCAACAGCAGCATGTCATCATAATATACTAACAAGCTTAGGAGCATGAACATCTTCATCTATAGATTATATCATACGTTTCTCACACATATCCTTTGATTATTTTTCTACAAATGCCATCTTCCTCAAGTATTCTAAGCATTATTTTACAGTGAGGATGATCTTCTCAAATCCCTTTATATGTGAGGTATAAGACAATCAAATCACCAAAAAACCTTCACCACAGATTGCTCTTAAATGCCATCTCTGGGGATAGAAATGGATGATTATTTCAAAGCCACCTCATTATAATCCTTTCTTCTCTCCAGGGAGAAACCAAGTCCCGTCCACCCCCTAAACGCTGGAGCACCATCTTCTAAGCTCTCTGCCGAGGAGCAAACCACCAATCCACCTCCGATGGGAGAAGAGGAAGAAGAAGGGGAAACTGATTTGCAGGCAGCGGACTCACAACCTCAAGAAATTTTAACACACTAACACCAGCCTCCTGTATGTTTAGACATTGACAGCGTATGAAATCCACTCTCCAGATATATATGGGCTTGTTTTTGTTTTAATCCAACAGATATCTTGTCTAGGTCATGCTTTCAGTAAAATATCTTACTGTAAAAACCACCCATGGTGCTAGTGTCAGCTGTTTCAGCTTTGTTCATGGCAGATTTTTTTAATTGTCTCCCCCGTCATTAGCATTTTGTACGTGAGTGGCGCTTTGTGTATCTCGCTGCTTTCCAGAAACTCTACTCATACACCAAATATACCTTTGTTTCAATGTGAAATCTAGACGGGGATTTGTCCACTGTGGCTGTTGTGCTCGAGTGAAATTGTATGTTGACACAACTGGAAACCTACAGAATATGAGTTATTTAATTGTAATGTTATGTTTCGTTTCGCTTCCTGTAATTAAAAACATGTACATACAGTATGATTTCCTTTAAGCCTATATCAAATAAATAAAATGCCCTTTTCAAATGCACTGTTACATAACTAAAGAATGTCCTAAAAAACTGGTCTGCTCTCTTATGTGTAGCTTTAGCATGGATCTAATGTATTATCTGTTTGAGTCTTACATTTAGTTTCATTTAATATTATTTGTGTTTCCTTAAGAAGATGGCAAGCAAAAGTTGGATTTGATGGTTGGATTGTAAGTGGTTGAAAGATCTAAGGCAGAAGCCCCCAGGTGGCATGAGAAGCACTGATGGACAGAATAGTGATTTTAAATGTTCTGAAGTATTATTTCTCCATTTCATTCTGTTCATAATAAATTGCATCCCCACTATCATTGTGCATGCTCTGTCTGTATGTTCACTTTAACATCAAAGCCAAAATAAATGTCATTGGTTGTTGTTGTTATGTTTCCTCTTAATGTAAAGCTCTGTTTTTAATGTGCAGCTAAACAAAAAATAAACACAATGTCTTCTCTGTACCTAATAATCCTGTCGTCTTTATACATTGTTCTTTTACTTTTTAAGGATTTTTTAGGCGTAGTTACGGCGTCCGACACATGCAAACGCATCACAATGGCTCAAAACACTTTCATTAGAAGAAAACGCTCAGTTGCAATTGAAAATTGAAGAGATATCTTTAACAACTTGACAACACATGCACAGCATTTAGAGAAATCTCACCGACTTGGCGAAACATGGGCAACATTTACTAAAAGCGCTGCATAAAAGACACACTGCAAAAACAAAACCCTTCAAATAAAAAACTCTGCAAGAAGCTCAAAACACAATGGAAACCAGGGGATACTAAAAGGTGATGCACACAGATGGGACCTGATGCCTGTATTAGAAGCAGGATTTGCGGTTAGCGAGGTAACTTCAGGGTTAACTCTGAGTTTTCGGTCCAACGACGCTGGTTCACTTCTTACTAGTGATGTGACATTCGCGAATGATCCAATTCTTCAAAGGCAAGGCTGGATTAACCATATGGGCAACCTGGGCAAGTGCCCAGGGGCCCTTGAGCAAAGAGGGCCCTCAGTGACAAGATTAAAAAAATAAAAGTTTTTTTTTTTACTTTTTGGGCACAACCTCACTCATCATACATTGTTTTAACCTGTTAGGCCCCAAGCCTGTTTTTCAGGCCTCAGGCTCGAAAATTACATTTCCAGAACAAATGACCACTACACTTCTAAAAGGGGAACATTAATAATCTTTTTTCTCAAACTAATGATAAACCTGTGAGTTGGATGTAGAAAAGTCAGAATCAATATAGATGTTTTTTATTTTAAAGAAAATTCAGTAGTAAACTGTAAAAAAAAACTGTAAATTATAGTGTCCGTCCAAAAATTCTTTTTTTACTTATAGTGAAAACTACCCTTGGATGATGGGTTAGTAGACTAAAAGCTTTATGAATCCAAAGTACAACATATAATAAGTACCCTGTATCAAGATTGATGCAAAACAAGTGACATTTGACCTTTTTAGAGAGGTTTAGCAAAAAAAACTCCACCTCTAGGGTGATTTGGGTGGAAATGGGTGTTTTTGCCGTTTCTCTGGAACCTATTGGTCGATTTTTATGATTGACATCTCTTTTTAACCGTTAGAGCCAATAGAATCGAAAGGGGATTTCCACATACGCACAAACGTTACCAAAAAAAAGTGGGGGCTTCGAGCATTCAGTTTCCCCAAATCGAAACCTGTCTCACCCTCTCAAATCTGAAAACGGAAAAGTAGGTTTATTGCTTATGGATTATCAGACAACAACAGAGGTAAGACATATTCCCGTTTTTGCTACCTAATTAATTGCTTGTTAATAAGTTAGCGAGTTCTTATCATCGAGTGATGATAAATATACCTATCGATTCTGTGTCTTCTCACAATGCTAATCGATGGGATGGTATTGGATGTGCAGTTACGATAAGTAATAAGGGTGTTATACCGTGTTTTCTGTGCAACCGCCGTTAGCATTTTTTCGCTCCAGGCTAATTTAGAGGCTCAGCGTTAGCTTTACATGGATATGAAACATTCATAGTTTTTACATCTTAAGAAAGCCCTCAGACACTGTTGCTTGCAGATGTTGTGGCCCTTCGGCGAGTCCGTGGGGCTTAAGAGGTTTTAAATGACACACACTCTTCACCATAAATAACACAGCTTTTCTATAGGCTCAAATTAATATATGTACTAAACCGTCTCTGTACTGTAGATCTAACTATGTATGCGCTCAACTTTATTACTACACGGCGGCGGTGTATAGCCAAATCAAAGCTCCACCCTCACTCAAGTCACATTTTGTGGACTGGCCATCGAAATACCGGGAGTTTTCCCGGTGGGCCGGTGCTGTGCGTGGGAAGGAGGGCCGCTCGGATTTGAAGAAAAAAATACAATATGCCGCGCATTAAGTGGGCCTGTCTGTCAATTAAACCCCGGGCCACTTTTTTCCCCCAGCCCGCCACTGGTTGGGGGGGGGGGGGGGGGGGGGGGGGGGGGGGCATGAGCGCTCAGTGCCCAGGGGCCCCTGGAGGTACTAATCCGGCCTTGTTCAAAGGCAACCGAGTCTACTTGGTGAGAGCCGTTCTTTTTATCGTTGGTTCTCTGCCTGCCATAAATCCACTCGCCTTGACGGGAGCTTGCTTTCCTGAATGCAAATTTGCCATAGATGATGGCATAACGCATGATGCTTGAGTAGTAGTTTGGCTGGCTGAGATGCAAGTTATACATTTTCTGTGAGTAAAAGTAGATTTCTGGCAATACTGTCAATCATTATCCTGGTGATTATTTCGTAGATAAACCTATTAACCCCGCCCCCTTAAAAAAACGTCTCTTTTGAACGGCTCTCGGAAAGGAACGGAGCCATAAGATCTGGCTCTGTAGAGGTATAACATAGAGATATGTATATTGTATGATTCCATGTGTAATGTCAACCATTTGTGCAGATAGCATGAAGTAGAAAAGATCGGCGATCGCCGATGCTAGCGTTAGCATTTCTCCCCGGGGCTTAAATTGTGTATTATAGAATGATCACACCGGTGACAGTACTCTTCAAAGGGTTCACGAAATATGACTACTACTCTTACTGTTTAACATTTTGGGTTACTTGATGTTACTTCATGTTAAGGCTAATACAAATGACAAGGCTAAGGCTGTAATGCTAACTAACGTGCTAGCTACTAGCTAGGTAGCTAACTTGATCCAGCCACTCCAGAGGCCTGTACTACGAAGCTGGTTCAACCTAACATAGGCGCTCTCGCTAAACGGTACTACGACGCGGGTTATCAAGTGGATCGCTCAAGCCAGCCGTGTCCTATCTAGTTAGGTGCACGTTCACATGAAAGGGGTGGTATCTGGAGCATTCGACCAATCACAAACATGGAGAAGCGTACTGACAGCGCAGCGTCATACTTCCTGAATGAAAAGTCAACTATAATATTAGACATATGAAGAAGTTAAACTTGAAACATCCATGACTTCAACACTTTATCCAGGATAAAAGCCACATAGTTGCACCTGCAAGGTGTATACAGCTGGTAAAAGAACAAGTGTTTGAATGCGTACATTAACAGGTTTATGATATCACTGCCCCGTCTAAGACACGATCTGACTTTAATTACATTTGACTCGAGTGTTTCGTCAACTTAATGTGTTGCTTAAAATAATACTTCTGCATACAGTATGTGACACTGTGAGTGTTGCACTGCCAGATACTGCTCAGCTGACTCAGATAAGGAAATATATGATACATTATGATGTGATATGCCGCGGACTGTACTTAATGTTACTCTCGAGTCTCAGGACGATCAGCTGAAGATGGCCCAGCACCGAGCGGCTATGGTGCTGCAGCAGGAGGAGAGAGCCAAGCAGCAGGCAGCGATGATGGAACACGAGCGTCATCAGCCTGGCGGCCAAATGAGAGGTATGGATCCTTGTGGGCCGCTGCCTCCTGGTGTCAGTATGATGCCGACCCAGAAACAGAGAGTGCCCCCCCTCCAGGAGAAGATAACAGAGAGGCCTGGCAGAATGAGGAGGTCAGCATCAGCGGACCAAAGATCCCTCAGGCTCTGGAGAAGATCCTCCAGCTGAAGGAGATCAGACAGGAGCAGCTCACCGACCCCGCAGAAGAGGAAGACGATGAGGCCGGAGACATGGACCTGAACAACTCCTCTGCTCCGGTCATGTCCGAGACAGAAGACGACGACAGTCAGATATCTAAGAAAGATAAAAACCGCAGGCGCAGAAACCGTAAGAAGAAGAGCAAGAAGAAGCGGGCGCTGGAGAAGAAGGAGCACGCGGAGCAGCAGCAGGAGGAGCAGAAGAAGGATGTGCAGTCAGACCACAAACCTCTGGAAAGCATTCTGAGAAAGTCGCTTGGAGCAGCTCCTTCCAGACTCCAACGGATGCTCCTCCAGCTGCAGCGATATGACTTGAATGTCATCTACACACCAGGTAAAGACCTACTGATTGCAGCAACCTGATCTCACCAGAATGCGTGACTCCACCACGCAACCTTAACACTGCATTGCGTGGTGGAGTCACGCATTCTGCTACATTTACGTGTCGGCACCACGCAAAAAACCCCAATGTAAAGTGAATGAGGCTCTTTTGTCGTGGTGCACACACGCATTTCTACAACGTCCCGCAGTGAGCTTTTATTCTATACAAATTTAAATCTACTTTATAGCTTGTAGTAACTCACAGGAGGCTTCTTTTATTTTATTTGTATTCATAATAATTTTTATTTGTCGTCAGAATGTATTATGGTGCATTAGTCACACATTTTTGTTCTCAAAAAACAGTGCATTGTGTGTAATACAACTGTGATTTTTATTAAATTAGTTAGTTTTTAAGGAAGGCCAGAGCTTCAGCTGTGTCAATAGATTGTTCCCTTTAGTTCACGTTATTTAAAAGATAATGATCATGTCCCCTTTATTGTATTACGAGCATCCATTCCCATTGGATAACGGAGAATTTTACACCCGGAAGTAAGTATTCTCCTTACTGTCGATTGATTTTACAGTGATATCTGAACTACTCATCAACTCAAAAACACCAGATTATCCTTGTTAATTACACAACATTGATTGGTTTAAATTGTGTACAATGCTTTTGTATTTTTCCCCTTCGATTCGGAGAAACGAATATTTGTTCAGAGTTTTTGGATGGCAGAAGACACTACACTACCCAGAATCCTCAGCTATCGTTTGGGACTACACCATGTGCTCTGTTTGACAAACCCCGTGATCAGTCCTCAAGCTCTGTGATTGGTTGACCTCCAACAGCATTCCATATGAAAAAAAACGTTTTGTAAAAGATAAAATCATACTTTATTCAGCAGTGCTTGCTTTACTCTTTGAAAGTCATCACATGAATGCATTGTAATAAATGGTTTGGCTGCATTAAATATTACACATCTATCGTAGTTCTTTATTTATCTACAGAGATCGGGCATCAGAATAGACCGGAAACTATTCTTTTACCGTTCTGTTTT